TCCTAAATTTCCTTCAAAGGCTGTATGTACTACAGACACTGTATAGAAGTTGTTCCCTCTAGAATGAGTTGCTTTTTCCCATTGCCTTCACTTGATTATGAATAAATCAGTCAGAAAAAAGAAGAACCACCCCCCTCCCCCCAGAATTGTTCCAGGAATGGTATAAGTAAAATTATTCTTCTTTACTGAGGAGTCTAAAAGGAGTATAATATTGTAATGTCCTTGATGATGAAGTCTAGCTATTTGGGGAACTAAGAAAGTTGTGCAAATATTTGAAGAGTAGGAGAGTTTTCCAACTTGAAGAAGCCTAGACCTTGAGAATATATTTGAAGAAGACAGTCCCACAAAATTCTGCTAGAGAAGTTCTTACTCAAGAACTTAAAATCTTAATTTGTGAATATGAATTTCAATTGGGAATTGCTGTTAATTTAAAAATCTGATCTTCTCTTATGGTTATGAAATTCAGATGCTCATCTGAAGATTGAATTTGAAGATGGAGGCTTGCCAGCCTAATGCAAGCAGCACTTTTTGCTCCTAACGTTAGCATGCCCAATTTTGAGTAACACACACTTGAAAAAAATATTTAAGATATAATACTGCCACTTAAGCTTAACTTTGTTGACTACAAAGTGGAATCTGAATACAAGCAATATTGTCTTCATGACGATTTTCATTATGAGGAGTTTATATAGGTGATTTGGAGTTTTTAATTGTTATTAGATAATTAAATAAAAACATAAAGTAGAAAAAAATATGATAGTCAACCCAGAAACCCATATATTTACATATTAGTTTGCAAATACTGTTACAGATTGGAGTTAAACAAACTTTTTAAAAATATAAAGAACATTTTAGTTTCCAGATAATATAAAAAAAGGTGGAAGGGTAGAACTGGCCCATGGATGTCATTTGTTGACCATTGGTGTAAACAATTCATTAAGCACTCACATTTGAATGATTTAAATGATTGATGACCAATGTGTGCTGAAAATAGTGCTTACTTTCAAAGGTTAGAAATGGAGAGGCTATGAAGGAGGTATTGTGCATAGTAGGAATAAATGTATCTAGAAATACAGGGAAAGGGAGTTAAACAAAGAAAAAAAAAAGGAAGAGTGAGAGATTTGTGTTCGTTCAGGGAGGACACTGAGGCATGACTTTGAATGTTATCTAGAAGCCCTTCACGTTTGCCTTGGTCAAAGATAAACCCTGATGAGAGCATTGCAGAGAGAAATTAATCTGATGATGACATGCAGGATGAGATGGTCTTACTAAATGCTGGAAACCCTGTTAAAAGACTAGTTCAATTATCCACTTGTGAGAAATTGATCTAGAAAAGTGGTAAATAAAAATATGAGGAAAAGATACTAAAGATGTTGCTAGTGAAAGGGATAGAGGGGATAGATTAAAGAAAAAAGAGGGGATAGATGAAAGAAGAGGGGATACGAACTCAACAGTCCAAGCAGGTTTGTTGCTAACCAGAGAGGGACCCCTCTGTTCTGGCCAGCAGAACAAAGGAAAGAGAGTCTCCAACAGGTCAAGAGGTGTTTTATGGCCAGGGCTTTGGTGGGCTCTTTGAGGGGAGGGGTCAGGGGAAAGGTGGGCTAGTGGCTTGCTGATGTGTTCTCTGGAGAATTCTTGTAGCCTAGGTAAGATGAGACCTAGGTCTCTCTGAGATGGGTGGGCTTATTCAAAAGGTCCGGATTGTATCAGTTAGTATGAAAATGATCAACTTAGAGTCTGACCTAATGAGATATCTTAAAATTAAGGACAGGAAAAAGAAGCTCAAAAATATTTTTGAGTTTGAATTTTTGTGACAAGAAAAATGATGGTATCATTGATACTGACAGTGAAATCTGGAGGGATGAGGAATTTGAGAGGAAAGATGGTGATTTTAGTTAGACTTACTTTAGTTAATGAACCTTGGACTTTTAAATGAAAATGTTCAACTGCCAGTCAAATATAGCAAAGACAATATTTATTGACAGAAAAAAGCAAAACAAAACTTTTGAGAGAGACTGTAGGAGTAATTAGACCTCGAGAAATACTAAAACATGATAGTTTTTCCTAGATAGGGGAGTTTGAAGGAGGCAGAGGTGGTCCATTGTGTCAAATTGATATCTTATAAAGCTATGTTTTTGGCCCCGGGCTTACAATTCCATTTTGAAGTGCAAATAGCCATATTCTCACCCTTTGGGAATGTTCAATTTCTATTCAAACATAAGCACTTGCTGTGTGAGTGACTGCATCTCACTGTTTGCTAGTGTGAGGTGAAGTTGCAGCAGAAGGTTAACAGAAGATTTTTCTGGTAGGTGTATTTTCCTCCTAGATGAAATATACACTTCATAAGATGAGCATTATAATATCCAGAAGGATTTTGTTTCATGCTGAACTCTTTTCCCATGGGCTGTGAAGATGTGTGCATGAGCCAATTTGCACCCTTTCATAGCACTTTCATTCATCTAAATTACAATACCCTCCTTACATGAATTTTATGCACCCAGAGGAATCGAACTCATCGTTACTATTATGACAGCAAAGCTCTCTTAAGAAGTTGCCTTGTTGAAAGTTTTCCCAAATGATTCATTCGGATTTTCATGCCCTGCCCCCAAGTATGTAATTTCCCATTTCCATTTTTAAGGTACTTAACATGTATTATAACTGGTGTTTTAAAAAGACATATTTAGGATTTTAGTGAAACTCACATAGTTTATAAGAAACAGACTATACTTTATTTTGATTAATACATTTTCTGTGCTCACAGGTTATACAGGTGAAGGCAGGAGTTTAGAATTACATGGTTAGCCCAATGAGGATACGGTAGGGCTTTATTTTCTGATTAAGGCAAGCTAAATGTCTGCTAAACATATCTTTTCATCAGAACTCATCTATCTTTCACATATTTCATCTTAAACACAGGTCACTGAAATACCTACATTTAATCATCCAGAACAATTCAAAATACAGTATCTTTAATGCATTTGGGAGTTACTCATACACAGATTAGACATCCTTTTCTGATTATTTAAATTGCTTTGTTCTTAGATAAATAAAAATTTCAATTTCAGTTTAATATGCTTTATCAAAGTGTTATTGAAACTTTTATAAGATAAAAATGCTATGTAAAACAGATAATACAAAATCTTCATTTGACAGCTGATTATATCAGTTATCCTTGTCACCTGGGAATGAATTGTTCCTTTAACTGTGTTTAGAAATAGTGGTGAACAAGGGAAAGCTGCATTCTATATTTCCCCACCCAAAGGAAGGTGTAAACATAAAAACATAATAGACCATAAGGCATGACATGTACATGGAATGAATTTTATGTATATGTGTGTGTGTGTGTGTGTGTGTGTGTATACACAAATATATGATATATACTGAAGAATAAATTGGTGGTTAATTTTTTTTCCTGCGATACTGAAACAGTAACATTTTTATTCTGCAAATTAAAACCCAGAAAAAAATGAAGTACTGTTTTAATAGGTAGATAGTCAGACATGAGCAGGGAAGGGGAAGGGGGACTTCACCTTTGTTTACATTTGGTTAGATGTAGTCTACAAATTCTGTGTAAGTTGTTCTCACAGGATGTGGAGTGAAAATATAGATAATAGACTGGCTAAAACTGGCTGGTTCCTGCATGGAGGAGAAGTTGACCCTGACTTCACTTCCAAATACATTATACACTCACTAACATAGTAAAAATTATGCTTGGTTGTGCCATGACAGTTCCAAGGGAACCAAATATAGTAAAAAAACCTTCCCTTGTCTGATGTGAGTGGAGGAAGCCCAAACTCCAGGAAGACTCCACCTGTTCCCTTAGAAACCTAACCCCACTTAGTGAATATTCATTTCCTTTCATATAAAAAGGTTCCCTACTGTCTCCTTGGTTCAACCCTCTATGGGTCCTCCTGCATCCCAGCTCCTCTGAGTATGTATTCTCTCCTTTCTTTCAACTCTAAATCTCCAAATAAACCCTTAATGCTCAATGGCTTTTCTGTACCAATTTTTGAATTCTTTCTTCCTTGGAGATCAAGGACCTATCTCTGGTAACAGTAACGTTTTATGAAACCACTCACCATTAGCTTGAGATCTTAATACCTTGTCTCCACTATACCCAATTGATGTCTATGAGAAATGCTATCTTTAGAAAAAGAAATAGTTTCTGAGGATATAGTGTAGGGAAAATGAAAATTTCAAGGCCAGGATTCTTACCTGATCTTAATATTGCCCATTATATACATGCAGGGAGGTAACAACTTAGCCTGCTTGCATACCCCTTGGCTGTAAACTGTTTGCAGCCGATATTGCTTTAAGGAGAGAAGCCTCCAGCCATGAACTAGGAAGAGAGAAGGGAACCTAAAAAAGAGGGAAGCAGGAGAGAGGGGAGAGCAGAGCCCTGTGCTGGGAGCAGGAAGGAGCACAGACAGAGCCATGAGTGAAGGCAGTACCTGGGAAGCAAAGCCTGGAGCTGGGCCCAGAGACCAAGACACGAGGATGGGAGTCTAGCGTTTGACCTGTGAGAATAAACCTTGTTACGAGCCCCTTTTTAGCCTCAATGGTCTGTTGTCATTATTTGGTATCAATGAATTCATAGTGAACTTGACTAGAGTGGGGAACCTCCTGCTCCCGGAATAACAGATAGTATGATCAAAGGCAATCATATTATTAATAATATACTTAGCTATAAATGTTGTTGCCCTATAGAGTATATTGTTTGCTAAAAAAAAAAAAAAAAAGGCAAAATAGAAATGATTCCACTTTTATCATTCAAGGCCAGAATAGAAACCTATGCTTTTATTATAAGCATGTCACTAAGGAAAGGTGATAAAACATTATTGATGTGTCCTGATACCTGAAAATGAGGAACCCAGGTTTAATGTCTAAGCAGAAACAGTCCTACTGCCTGGTACCTCTATCTCTGAGCAGAAATGTTTAGTGCAGGGGAACACTGATCACTATGGAGAGGGTTCAGATGTGCCCCCTAGCTCAGAGAAACAATGCGGAAGCATTATCTAGCCATCCCTTTAGTGGAAAAAGAGACCGAATTCAGTGGTAAGGTGCCCCCGAGATTAGCTGAACTACTCCATGGTTTTGCTGTGTCTATATCCATTTTGTTTGGCCAAATGGTCTTCAGGGACCTCAAACTGATTCTAGTGCCCTTATGCAAACACAAGTCCTATGTGAACAACCCTCAAACTCACAAGTAAATGTGAGTTGCTGATATGATGACTTCCCCAAAGCTCTTGTGATGAACAGCCTTCCCTGCCTCCAAGGGCCTTTAACCTTCTATACTTCTTAGATAAGACCCAGAGAAGCTTACCAAAACCCCACTCTTTTTGGCTTGAATTGCCCCATATAGCCTTAGCCCAAGAAGCCCAAAGCATTTATTTCACTCACAGACCCTAATGAAGTCACGTGTGCCGGGTCCTTTCTCTCTGCCTGTATCCTGTCTTTACTTCTCTGTGTGGTACTCAGGCCATGTACCTCCTCCAGGACCTGTGAATAAGAAATTTCTCTATTTCAATTTCCTTGTCATCTTTTGTAAAACCTGGTTCCCCATCTGACACCCCAGGGGTTGACTTAACAAATATTAATTTAACAAAGTAATAAAATAACGAATGTGAAAAAGTTATCTTATAGCAAATTTGGTAGTTTAAGGGTCATGTCAGTTACCTTAGTAACAATTCTTGATGCAGAATATCCTTTATTGTTTATTGCCCATAAGTATAAATACCAGTAACTATATTGTTCTCAATATGGTTATTGAGAACAATCAATATAAATATATGGATTATAGTTTCTATTATATAAAAAGAGATCACTTTGTTTTCTTCACAGTCTTGAGTTAAATTAAGTCCAGGATATAATATTGGGTATTCAGATTACTGGGCTGAGTGGATCAATATTTGTTACCACATTCAAGAATGTCATTCATTTTTGGAGGGACTACAGTTGTTATAAAATGCATCATACTATTGGTGTAAAAATTAAAAATTCTGGAGAGAATGGACAATGAAATTACAGTGATTATTTTTTATTGAAAGAATTTAAAATAATTTATTGTTTTCTTTGTATGTTTTTGTATAGTTTCCAACTATTTTATTTTGAATGGAAATAATGTAGCTAAGAACTTAGCTCTGGCTTAAACTGCCATTTAACTGTGTGCTCAGACTAATCTCTTTGTGTTAAGACTGGCAATGGATTGGTTGTTGCAAACCTAAGATTTAAATACACTTAAGGCATGGAAAGTTCAATATTACTATTAATTTATTATTAATTCATTTTAACTTATTTTGCAATGAAGAAAAAAAAGAGGACTTTCTTTTTTTAAAAAAACTGCTGAAGACCCTGAGAACTAAGAAAAAAATTGCATGAGTATCTTTCTTTTTTTTAAGTTTAAGTTGTATAACATGTCGATTTGATATATTCATAAACTGCAAAATAATTACCACCACAGCATTAGCATACACCTCTATAATGTCACATAATGCATTGAGAATTGGAACACAAGATGGCGTAGTCATTTTGAAAAACAGTATGTCAGTTTCTTAAAAAGTAAAGTCTAAATTCACCATATGACACAGAAATACAATTCCTATGTATTTGTATAAGGTAAGTGAAGCATATGTATGTACAAGGACTTTAACATTTAGTTCTATAGCAGTATTTTTCATAAGAAGCAAAAATTTGGAACAATCTAAATTTCATCAACTGGTTAATGGACAAAATATGAAAAAAGAACAAAATATTACATGTTGTAATATAGGTAAACTTCATAAACACTATCTTTAGTGAATTAAACTGGATGCAAAAGATTGCATATGATATTGTTTATAAGAAATGAACATGAAGGAAATCCTTAAAGACAGGAAGCAGAGATATAGCCACCTGAGTTTGGAGTTAAAACTGGGGATCTACTCCAAAAGGGATTCATTTTGAAATGATACAAATGTTCTAAAACTAACTTCCTAGTCCCATAAATTTGAGAAGCATTTAATTATATACCTAAAACTGGAGAATCTTATACTATATAAATTATATATTCATATAGCTGTTTTCTTAAAAAATATAACAAAAGTACAAACCTAAAATGAAAATTCACCAGATGTATTTATTAGCAAGTTAGAGATGACATAAGAAGAGTGAAGTAAATTAAAATCAGATTAACAGAAATAATTTAATCTGAAGAATAAAGAGAAAATTTGTAAAAGCCTCATGGACATTATGGAACTACAGTCCATCAAGCAAGTCTACATATGTGTAAATGGAATCCCAGATAGACTGGACAGGAAATATATATATATATTTGAAGGTATAATAGCTGAAAAATCCTCCAATTTTGTGAAAGAAATGTATTTAAGAGTTTAAAGAAGCTCAAAAAACCTCAAATAGAATAAATGCAACTAAAACCAAATCTAGACATATAGTCAAACTGCTGAAAATTAAAGTTACAGTAAAAACTTGAAAGTAGCAGAGAAAAAAGTCATAGCAAACAGCAATATATGACTACTAGTATTTTACTTAAATCAATGGACTCCCCCCAAAATGCAACATCTCTAAAATGTTAAAAGAAAGTATCAACCTAGAATTCTATACTGAAAATATTCCTCTAAATTGAAGACAAACATATTTTTGACTTGGAGACCTAGAAAATTCACCTCCACCAGACTTGCCCTAAAGGAAATGCTAAAGGAAGTTACTCAGGATGAAGGGAATGATACCAGAAGGAATCTTGGATCTAAACAAAGGAAGGAAGAAAACTAGAAAGGGTATATTTTTGGGCTAAATGTAAGTAATAGTTTTCTTAATTGTATTAAAAGATAAACCATTTAAAGCCAAATTAATAACTATGTTCGTGGAATTGATAACACACGTAGTTGAAATATATGTAAAAGAGTAGCAAAAAATTAGGAGGCTGAGTGTATATTAAACCTGAATAAAAAGTACTTAAAAATTTTGACTTGATACCTTAGGTATGCTTATATTGCAGTGTTTATGGAACTGAGTTATAATTTTATTCATGTAGTTCATGTAGTTTTGTCTCTTGAGAACTAATCCACATAATCATAGTTTTTAAAAAATGAGGTTTAACCAGAATCACAAAATATTGATTGCTAAAGAGCCATGTAACTGTAATGTTCATGGTAACGAGCCAAAACATGCACTCTTTGTAGGAAAGTCTTCCTTGAGAAGCCAAATTCAGACAGGAGTTAGTTTGGTGGGTACAGAATCAGTTCAAGTATTAGTTTTTTAATTGCAATGGCTAGTGTCATCGAGCTGGGATAGCCTGAAGCTGCTGTCTCCCTTTTGGGCCTTGTGGACCTTTCCCCAGAGTACATGAATAGAAACCACCTAGTTAGTGTCTGGCCTTTTAAATGCACTTTCTCTTGGTTTCTCTAGAACTTTGCTTTTCTGTTAACAGTCTTTCTCTGAAGGATAGTGAAATTAATGACAATTAAGCTTTATTCAAAATCACTTTCTCATCTTGGTCTCCTGACATTTCTACTAGGTCTTCCTGCTTAAACTTTACTATTTCTATATTTAGTTACTGATTTAGTTGTGATTACTCATGCAGAAGTCTCTATGTTTATATTCTGATATTTTAAGTCTTGAATAGTAAATTTTTAGAGGGTCCTTCATTATATATCTTTGTACAATTGTAATAAGTAAGACATGATACGGTTGATTGTACAAAAAACTGTACTTCAATGGTTTGTACATAGCCACATCATAATATTTCAAGGCTGTTTTTATACCAAAATAGTGCTCTACGGGCACCTATTCAAAGCTTTATTTCCAAACTCTACTCTTTTACTAATCGTCACTCTATCCCTGACTCATTCATAGATTTCTTTCCAATTTAATGCACTCTATGATTCTGAACTCTCATCTTTTTTCTGGCTATTTCCTGAATCTCAGATCATCTTAAACACATTTAGTGATCAGTAATATTCAGAGATGGGTGAACACATATGCTTTTCATATTACTTGGCAATAAAAATGGCTAAAAGCTTAGCTTTCTTAATTTATCACATGATTATTTCTTGTCAGAGTGATCACAAAAACAGTTAAATAAAATGAATTGTGATATCAAAATAGCTGATGGAAATAGTAGAAAAGTTTTTAAATAAATATTGTATAGCCATTTATCATAAATTTCATCTTTGAGGGGAGGGTGTGTTGATGGGTTAATTAAATAATTTTTTAAGTATTATGTTTTATAATTGAAGATAATATTAAAAATATTTTCCCTGTTTGATTAACAAAGTAGACTCATCAGGATATATACTCTTTTTCTTCATTCTTCCATTCATAACCTAAAGTTGTGATTTGAGTCAAATGGAATAACTATCCCAAGTCACATAATTAAATATGGGATTGATATTATAGACTTAATTTTGGTAATTGTTAATAACTCAATTTCTTTCACTGGAAATAGCAGAATTCATAAATACACAAGAGTCTTGTTGCTCACATGCAGTACACCCTCAAATATTTTCTGGAATGAATAAATGAATTTTCATTTCTTCAAGGTTTCTATTGTCCTTATCTGTTAGATATTAAATATTATGTTTTGTTATCTTTAAGACTGACAAAATAATATTTGATTTATTTTAAAGTAATAAACTTATCCCATAGTTAGAATAATTGTACCTACGCATGAGAAACAAAGGAAATCAATTCTATGACATAGCAAGGAATTGCTTATATGAGATCTGTTATGTCTCTGAATTCCTGAAGGAACTTGGCAGCTAATATACAACAAATCACAGTGGAGGCAAGAAAGGGTCTGTGGCCTGACATACCCTGGGGCGAGACCCAGTGCCCAGATCCTGGTCACTTAAAAGATCCAATTTGGAAGATTTTCTTAAGTGAGAAGGGCAATTTCTGGTCATGATTAAGGCAAATGGCAAAAAGCACCTTGAAAAGAAATAAAGCAAAGTAGTGGTTTGTCCCAACACAGCACTATCACAGGTTAATAGAATGCTGATTCTCAGAGATTTGGCCATGAATTTGTATGAATACAAGTAGGAGTCAGAGCAAAGATGGTTTGTGGATCCAGACAGTGGTGTGGATCTAGATCCTAAGGGCAGATCCTGAACAGTCAGGACATTTTCATTAAGCAAACAGTAAGAAACTTGCCAGCCTCCTGGCACAGAGACTTGAGCAGGACTGATGGAATATGAATGAGAGGACCACAGT